CAGCAGCAGCAGCAGCAGCAGCAAGGCCAGCTGATGGCCGGTGGAATGAACATGGGCAACATGGCCCCTACTATGATGAACATTCCTCCACACCTCATGCATGCTACACCGCAGGAGATGGCACAGATCCGGGCCAGTCGACCTCAGCTGGTAAACGCACCTGACGACCAGGTCCGCATGCTGATTATAGGAATCAAGCGCCAGCAGTGGCAGAATCAAGCCAACCGCATGCGAGCACAGAACGCGGCTAGCCAGGGACTTGGACCCCAGAATCCCATGGCCGGGGCGACGGGCCAGCAGGCGGGCCAACGGCTGAGCCAACCTCCCCAGCAACAGGAGCCAAATCGCCAGCAGCCTCAACCAGCTCAGCAGCAAGGAGGCACGATGCCAAGCGGTGCTCAGATTCAAGTTGCAGCCAGCAAGCAGCAAGCAATGCCCCAACAGCCTGCCAAGAACCTCAAGCGACCAAGCACTGACGATGCCAATGGGGACAACACCGTTGAATCCAGCAACACCGCCGCGACTACCGCCACAATGAACCCTGCCAGTGCCAGACCTAACAACGCCGGCGGCCCCAAGAGGGTCCCACCGCAGCTATCAGCACAGCAGATTGCCAGCATGACGCCGGAGCAAAAGGCCAAGTACGAGGCCTTCGTGAGGCATCAGATGGCTAACAAAGATGGTGCATCTACCGCTACTATGCAACCAATGGGCGAGTCAATCAATCGACTCAAGGCCATTGGTCAGGAAGCAGCGCGCCAACTAATGCAGGAAGCCACGGTAGACATTCCCATGAGTGCTCAGGAGCTTGAGGAGACGGGTAAAAAGTTGAAAAAGATCGTCGTTGATATGGGCAAGGTCGGACGCGGCCTAAGTAAGTGGTTCGCTATTACCGGAGATGAGGGACGTGCGAGCATGTTTTTCAAATTTCGCCAACGTCTTCTCAAACAGTTTGTGGATGGTGACGCCATGACGATGTTACGCGACTCATTCAGCATGCGATCTTCAGACGTGGAGCAGGCGAGAGCGATGCTGGAAAGCATGGTCCGCGACCTGCAGGCCGCCAGCATGGGTGGATTCCTGAGGGCACAGAACAGTCAGCCACAAGCCGGCCAAACGGCTCAGCAGGCACTCCAGGGCAGCAACGACCAGTCGGTGGCGGCAGTCGCGCCTCTCAACGCAAGGAACCTGGAAAAGAACTCGCAGGCGCTCAATCGACAGAAAAACAAGGCGGCGAATCAGCCTCCTCCCGCCCCAACAGTGGCACAAGCACCCGGATTTCCGACAAATGCATCATCGCCACACGGCAATCCCAGCTATATGAACAAGGCCAGGGACATGAATCTCCAGATACCACCACGCAAGAAGCAAAAAGTGGCGCAACAGCCCGGCCAGGCGGCCAGCACGCCATCGCCGCGGGTCAACAAGACGGCATCGCCCGAAGTCAAGCGGGCGCCAGAGCCCGCAGCGCGGCCAGTGTTCCTGTGCCGAGAAGCGGACTGCGACCTGCCCTCTGTCGGTTTCCCAACAGAGCAGGCGTTGAAACAGCATGTCGAGGAAGACCACGTCAAGCCAAGGGAAGATCCGCTCAAGTTTTTGCAAGAGAACCTGGCACGGTGTCTGGGACTGGAGACGGACGGGACCGTGAAGAAGCCGGCGGGGGAAGCGGCACAAGCGATGGCACAGTCGGGCTCGAAACAGGGACAAGACGGCGCCATGAAGCGATCTGGCAGTGCGCTGAGCCGAGTTCAGTCTGCTAGCGGTCGGGGCGAGAACGGAACGCCCAAGACGACGGCAGGGGAAACAGCAACGCCGGGAACGTCGGATCCGTGGGCGACAACTACGGTTGACACACAGGCGCTGCTGAGCAACCTGGGGTTCGAAAACGGCCTACCTACTATAATGAATGAGTATCGGCTCTACCGGTCACAGACACCCAACAACGATACGCCCGAGTCGAGCAAGGACAGCGGATCTAGTGAGCCGAACAGTGACATTTCGGAGGGGGCTGCGCTGGAGATTGACATGAATTGGCAAAACATTGACACGGATCTCCTCCTTGATCTGAACAACGCGAGCCTGCGAGCCCCGGGAACGACGCTAGACCCATCTCTTCTTTTGGATCCTCTAGCGGGACCAGCTCCGGACTGGGATGACGTGGTTACCGACTTCAACAAGCCGTTCCAATTTGACACGAGCAAGTATTTCTTCAATACATCGTCGTGAGAGCAGCGCAGGATGCCAATCTATTGTGGGCATTACGATGGTATCATGTTGATGTTGGAATGCAGAATGTTTTTTTACTTTTGTGGTGTTTTTTTTTTTTTTTTTACTCTTTTATTTTCCTCTACGATATGTTTGGATCCAAGACATCACTCTGTGGCATGGCTGGATGGTTAATACAAAAAAGGGGGACTATGGGAGGCAGCGACAAGCGAAGTATTGTATTTTGGTCTGACTTTTTTCGGTTTTTGCAGTTTTTGTTTTTGTTTTTTCCTTGTCAAGTCTTGGACTTGGGGGTTCAGGATATATACCCGGTTTATTTTTTCTCATGACGAACGGCATGCAAAGTCAGGCGAGAGGAGCGATGGTTGGGATAGAGGTAGAAAATAGGTGTCTGACAGGATGATGATGAAGATGTGTACTGGAATAGGTCAGATGAGGTGTATTTCAAACAGAATTGTTTTTTCATGTCTTGATGATGGCGTCTTTTTTTGGTGTCTGTGTTGTGTTGGTGTGTCTTTTAGCACCATCTCGGGAGCGCTAGTTTATGCAGTTCAAGTAGAAAATTTCCTTGTGGCAATATATTTACCTGCGTTGTTTTTTTGTTTGCATTGACTAGGTAGTCTGGATGTTATCGTGACGGGTAACGGGACGGATGATCAGCATCGGGCCTTTGCACCAAGGCAAGGCGCTTCGGCCGTTGAGGCTAGCGGGCGCTAATCATACACGTAGGAATTGCCTAGTAATAGGGAGGGAATTAGTGTAATTAGTGCCTAAAACTAACACTAACTGAACTGTGGTGTGGACTGGAGACTTGGAGACGTGAAGAGACACGAACCACGAACGCGACGGGAAGCTCCACAGGGGGTTCTATTATTTATTTTATTTTGATGCATTGTGATTTGTCCCGAGTATAGGTCCTGGAGGTGTTGCCGGTTACTACCTAGGTACCTAGTTAGACAGCTGTAAGCCCATGTCAAGTATAATAATAGAATAATGTATTCCTGAAATACAGTAGCACAAAGGTAAAGAGTACTTACCTAGTACCTACCTGCTACCTGAAGAACAGTGTTGAGTGTTGATATAGTCGACGAGAGAAACACGGTGCGTTTTAATCATTAGGCGCGATCAAGGATCAAAAATAAAAAATGCACCAGCTAAGCTAAACCCAGGCGACGCCTCCAAAAGTGTGGGGTCAAGTTCCCTCTCGACTCCAACTGTTCCGAGCCCACTCTCCCATCTCCCATCCCATCCTCCTCCATCTTATCACGTCACGTCCAACACGACCGCGTTCTCTTCTTCTTCGTCTTCTTCCTCTTTCTTCCTATACATTCAATACGCAACGTACATGGAAGAAAGACCCCTCTTCCCTGTTTCCTGACATTTGCATTCTGCAAAAGCGTGACGCCTCCTTCACCCGTCTCGGACGCCGTTTGGGCAGCCTCCACGACAAGCTCCCACTGTCCGTCTCAATTGCATCGACCGTCTTCTTTTCTGTTTCCCCTTTCCACCTCTTCCTATTTTCTCTACGCGTTTCTCCTTCCACCTCATCTTGTTTCCCTCTCTGCCATGAACGCTGCCTCACCCACCAAGAGACGCGCCGCGCTGGCCACCCTCGACGCGAACGCGACAACCTGCTCGACGCCTACCCCAGGCAAACACCACCACGCCGACGCGGACCCGACGGCGCTCAAGCCGCCTCTACCATTGAGTGCTGCTTCCCGACGAACCTCTGGCCTGCTGTCTTCTGCACCCCTGTTGGCGCCGCCTCCCGTCATGGCCCGTGCCGGCGGAGCCCCGTCGGTCGGGATGAAGCGCTGCTCCTCCGGGATGGTGCTGCAGGACCGGGACCAAATACACGCAGAGGAGCAGCAGGCAAAGAAGAGCAAGAGGGAGCATCACGGCCCCGAGGTGGCGCCCGCGCCAGTGTCGACGCAGAGCTCGACGCGTAGCAGGACGCACAGCCCAGACGCGAGCTCCGTCTTTGACGCCTCGGGTGCCGAGGACGCGACGTGGGTGACAACGGCTACGGAGCCTGAATTTGTCGGGGGAGGAGCGCCGGCGATGAATCCGGCCACAACGAGAACGCCGCCGAGGGCACTGACGCGAGAGCAAACACGCGAGGTGAGTCGACGTACACCTACACGACATGACAAGAAACTAACTCGTGCCTACAGAAGGTAGAAATTCTCCGGCTACGCCTCGGGCTAGCTAGCTACAAGCTTCGTACGGGACAGGTCGAGGTGCCCCTCGCCGACCTCCAGCCGCGACCCCTGCCGACCACCGCGAGGCCCGGACACGCGCCGGATCCCTCGCAGAGCAGCGCGTCGCAGGAGGATGACGAGGACGAGGAAGAAGAGGAGATAGTGGAGGCGACGCCGCCGCCGCCCGCACAGCCGACTGCGGTCGCGGCTCTGGCAGCCATGGCATCGCGGTGATGAGATGAGAATGGGGCAACGCGCCAAACCACTCGAGTCAAACCCCCACCATGACGCGATATTGTATTTTTCTTCTCTTCTGTTTTTTTTATACGGGCGTATTTCATCCTTTGGGCAATGGGGGAACATGATCTTTCTCGCTTTCAGGCTCTTTTCTTTTTTTGTCTTCGGATCGGAGGGGGAGCAAACCGTGCAACTGTCCCTCTCAGACTTGGGGGCACATGTATACTGGCGTTGGTGGGGAACCGGGCCTATTCGGGTTCTACGAAACAAAAAGAAGAAGTTACAGACCTTGGATGGGCTTGTTGCTTCTTCTCTTTATTGTAATCATAGCAGACTGCTGTAGTCTTTTTGGAGGGGGGGGCGCAATTTGGTGAAACCTGAGATTCTTTTACTGCGGGGCCAGACAAACAAAGGTACATGATGGGATAGAAATTTTCAAAAGACATTTACATCTACACTTGAACACTTTTTTACCTCTTGGCAATTTTGCCATCTTTGCTCCTTTGGTTTATACATGAACTCGTCGCTTATGAACCCTGCTCATAACCAGCGAGGTTGAATCACCCCGCTTAAACACCAAGTCAGTCAAGCGGGGAGGCGAAATAGACAAAAGGCACGATCAATGGAGAAGAGCCAACTTGACTTTAATTTCATCACCATATCTTGTTTACTAACACAACACTTCTAATCAATCAGAATCTTGGGCTCCATGACACCGTAGGTGGAGAAGAATTTCTCAAACAGCTTAATGGCAATGGCAATGTCGGCGGTGCCGCTCGTCTCGCGGATGCTGTGCATGCTGAGCTGGGCGTTGCCGACGTCAATGGTGCGGACGCCGAGCAGGGCGGCCAGGCCGGGGCCGATGGTGCTGCCGCAGAGCGAGTCGTTGCGGACGACGAAGAGCTGGAGGGGCACGGCGGCGGCGCGGGCGCACTCCTGCAGCAGCACGATGCCGGGCGAGTTGGTGGCGTACTTTTGGCTGGCGTTGACCTTGATGACGGTGCCCTTGTTCATGGCCGGCTGGTGCGCCGCCTCGTACTTGCCGATGTAGTTGGGGTGCACGGCGTGCGCCATGTCGGCCGACACGAGGAACGAGCGCGCCAGCGTCTGCTCAAAGGCCGTCGACGACTCCTCCCCGGAGGCGTCGCTCGAGACGTGCTCGTAGCTCCGGTCCGAGTGCGCGTCGCGGTGGCTGCTGCTGCTGCCGCTGCTGCCGGGGAGCACGGCGAGGCGGCGCAGAACCGCCGGCAGCATGTTGGAGTGCGCGCCCTGGGCCGACGTGGACCCAATCTCCTCGTGGTCAAAGCACACGGCCATGCGGATGATGTTGTCGTTGTCCAGGGCGTCCTTGGCCCGCACAGAGGCAACGAGGCCCTCGATGGAGCAGTACGTCATCTCGAGGTTGTCCAGGCGGGGCGCAAAGATGAACTCGTCGTTGAGGCCGCCGACGCAGGCGTCCTGGGTGTCGTAGAGCATCATCTCAAAGTCAACAATGGCGTCGACGGAGACGCCGGCCTCGCTGGCGATGACATCGAGGACCGCGGGGTGGTGGCGGTCGGCCATGTCGGCGAGGGGCTGGAAGTCGTCGTCGTCGTCGCCGTCGTCGTCGGCGCGGCGGCGGCCGGCGTTGGCAGGGGCCTTGTTGAGCTGCTGCTCGGCGAGCGCGGTGATGGGCAGCATCTCGGTCTCGAGGTTGGGGTCGAAGCCGGACTGGCGGTGCAGGTGGATGGCCAGCGTGGGGATGCGGACGAGCGGCCGGTCAATCTTGACGAGCGTGGGCACGATGGCGCCGCCAGCCTGGCGGACGAGGAGGCGGCCCGCCAGGCTCAGGTCGCGGTCGAACCACGAGGTCCAGATGCCGCCGCCGTACTTTTCCACCGCGATCTGGTCGTAGCCGACCTGGGACTTTTTGGACACGGGCTTGAGCCGCAGGCAGCACGAGTCGGTGTGCGCGCCCACGACGGCCACGGGGTTGCCGGCCCGCCACTCGTGCCCGACGGCAAAGGCGGCGATCGAGGACCCGTTGCGGGTGACGTAGTACTTGCCGCCGGCGCGGACGGAGCCGGCCCACGAGTCGCGCTCGTGGATCTGCTGGAAGCCAGCCTTGGCAAGGATCTTGATGGCGGTCGCGACGGCGTGGTACGCTGCGGCGGGCAACAACGAGGAGAGAGGTCAGCGGGTCCTGAGCACGTTTTGTGGTACAGAGAGAAGGGGGGGGAGGGGCATGTACGAGTCGGCGAGGCGTTGATAAAGTCGACAAAGTCGAGGGCGGCTTTGGGAGGAGCCATGGTCAAGGCCGAGGTGGACAGGGCGAGGGCGATCTGGGGAGTCGGTCGGGGGTGGTGGTGACGGCAGAGGGTCGACAGCGGTAATCGGACGGAGGCGAGAGGGCCGATGCGCAGGGGGTTCATGCAAGCTGGGCACCGACAACGAAGCGATGGAAAGGGAGATGAAATGGCTGTTTGTAGGGGAAGCTGAATCTGGGGGGGGAGGGCACGTGTGACGGAAAAATTCAAGATGCTGGTGTTTGTATGTCGGCCGGCGCAGGTCCTTCTGGGGTTCTGGGGTGGGGCCGTGGCCAGGTTCGGCAGGTGAGACGGGAATACGTACCCGGAGACGTTGACGCCGGCGCAAGCCGCCTCGGCGCAGACCGTGTACGCGGCAAGTGGGAGATGCATTGTTGGTTCCTTTGAAGAAATTCTGGATAGTCGGCCATAGAATAATAAGCTCCTTTATAAAATCGGCATCTCCTAGTACAACTACTTGCTGCAACCGTCACTCACTCTTTGGTCAAGGAATTGTATATTGAATATTTTTATTTTACGCTACTAAAAAAATGCAATAGATTCATGGAAAACACCAGTAATAGTGAGTATATTGCTCTATAAAACACCAACTCCTAAATAAAAGGCTCTTAGACAAAGAAAATGCCCAACCAATCCCGAACGCCTGGCCGCTATTCAAAGCTGGCCCTAGACATGGTCGGCCCTGCCTGCATATCTCTTTCCATTCTGCTCCCCCATCTGGAAGCCGCCCTCCTCGCTCACCATATTGCTATGCTTCCCCAGCCACGTGCCGTTGCGGACCGCCGGCTTGTCAAACACCATGCCGGGGCTGCCAAACAGGAGCGCGACGCCGGCCAGCACGACCATGACGCTTTCCAGCACGATGAACAGGGACTCTTCGCGAAACAGCTTTCCCGCGTAGCCATCCTTGAGCTCCGCGACACGGTACGCGCAGCGGGTCAGCACAAAGACGCACGCGGCGGCGAGCCCCGCAAAGAAGACGGCGGTGCGCCAGCCGCGGAGCTTGTCGCGCGCCCGGCCGGAGCGCAGCAGCCGCGCCATGTAGTCGGCAAAGGCGGCGATGAAGAGCACCATGACGACGACCTGCAGGATCAGGCCGGCCATGGAGATGTTGACGCCCGTGCGCTTGCCGTCGTGCATGACCGTGGACAGCGCGCCGCCCGCGGCCTGCAGGATCAGGCACACGACGTCGGCGGGGATGAAGATCCAGTAGAAGAGCTGCGGCTTGAAGCGCGAGAGCTCCGGCGCAAAGTAGGTGATGGTCTTGGAGAGGGTGACGTAGATGGAGGCTGTGAAGAAGACGGGCGCGATGGTGAGGCAGACTGTGTGTCTGCCGTGTTAGTGTGTGCAACGAGACGAAACGGGAAAGAATATAGAAAGAAATATGCTTACTGATTTGAATCATGAATCCATTGTAGGAAAACGGATTGTTCCACATCAGGAGGCGGCCCACGTAGCCCAGGACCTCACACAGGCAGCCCAGCAGCATGCCCGTCATGAAGCCCCAACTGCGCCAGCGCAGGCCAGAGTAGGCGTGCACTGTGCCAATGACCACAAACAGGGCCAGAAACACGGCATTGGCCGCCAGCGACGGGCGGTAGCCAAAAATGGACCATTCGACCGGGCAGTTGTCGAGGTGGCAGGGCGAGTTGGCGCCAAAGACGTCTGAGGGACGGGAGTGGAAGGAAGACGTGGTGGAAGTCATGATGGCTCTTTCTTTTTTCTTTTTTTTCAATATTTTTGGTTGGAGAGTGAGAGCTTTTGGTCGCGGTTCCGTTCTTGTTAAGATAAAATTGGGCAGAAGCGGCCGTGACGCGCAACTCGGAATGGTCGGTAGTTGCAACGGGGCCGGCTCCGAAGCGGGCGGAGGAACTTAGACCAGGAAAGCTGACAGAGAGCGGAACAAAGGGCAGCCGCAGGCAGAAGATTTGCCCTTTTGCACGGACGATGTAGTGATGGAATAGTGATGGTGTTTTTTTAGTTTCCTCGAACGCGAGGATGTCCATATTTATGTATGCCCATTCACATACAAACATTTCTAACAAACGTTGACGCCCGTCTACCTGCTACTCCACCAAACTTCGGACTCTGCCACATCGGTCTGCATTACAGCCCAAACACACCTATCCTTTTTCGGCTCTATGACATGTTGATTAGAATCTTTTTGATCCTTGCCCGTTGTAGCGCATGGAATCAAGCCCCTAGCGCCAGCCTTGTTGCGCTGTCAGCTTTGCTAAAACCAAGGCTTTTTGAGTTTCCGGGCTTCCGTCAGCACCCAGTTCTCTCTCTCTCCCTCGGTCCCAGCCCAATCCCTTGCAGGAAAATAGGCAGTTCATAAAAAAGAAATTGATAATAATAAATTCAAGTGCTCCGCAGCAGTACGTGGGAAAAGAACAAGGCTGCGCCACGTTTTTATCGCTCAGCTGGTGGTTTCGTAATGGCGAGGGAATCACCAGCTCCGCCCACCCAGGGAGGCTGAAGGGAAATAAGCGAGTCCGAGGCGAGTTTCGTGAGGCTTTGAGGTGCTTCAGCTGCTAGGATATAACACGGCCCCGCTGCGTCCATGACGACAGCGGTCCCGGGAGAATTCTCCAGCCCGGGCCGTTCAAGGTTTGGTGAGATGGAGGGCGGTTGGTCGACAATCAACCCCTCCGATCTATCAAGTCATTTAGTTTAAAAAGAAGGAGAATAAAATGGAATTTCAGCAAAGAGTCGTCGTAAAGCAACCACCATAAAAGCTCTCGCAACAAACGGATGACGTTGCCTGCCTCTGACTGAAGAGAAAGCCTTGCTGTCAGCCCCACAGGGCTGTCAGCCAGCCAAGTCCGAGTCCGAGTCCGCATTCGGCGCGGCGGCATGATGTTGCCCCGGCCACGGCGCCGGGTTAGTCGACGTCAACGGCGGATGGCTGGTATGACCCACCCCCCATCCCTTCAGCCCTGTGTCAAAGGATCTCGCACTCGCACAAAAAGGTGCCAGTCTTGCGAATCGGGCAATGGTCCCCATCAGCGCGCGCAAGTAAAAATGTCGTGGGCACAACACGTAACCCCTCCGAGGCAGTGCTGGCGCGGCTGAAACCGAGAAAACACGAGCGAACTCGTCAGCGATGGAGGGGACCTTGGCAGCTAAGAGGCATTGCACGAATTGCCGGCGGGGGAAAGAAAGATGAAAGACCTTACAAAACTTATTAGCAAATAGATGCAAAAATGAAATATTCCACAAACAGAGGCCACGCGTCTGAACCAGATCGGCGATGACTTTTAGGTCGGCATTTGACGTAGCCTGATCTCACACACTCTCTCTTGTCATCTTCCATCTCGCATCCAATCCTCTCGTACGTCTCAAGTAGCCTCTTAGAGACCCGTTGCATCCTTTTTCGATCCGTCCGAAGCCGTCAATGCAGACCATACCAAGACTAGCTACCTAGGCAGACGGGGAAATATAATACCATCGAGACGCTCAACCATTCCGGGCGATAGCCGCTCCATACTTGACTTCATCAACACAAGATCACAGACTACAGTAGCAAAACGAGTCCAAAATAAAAAGTAGGGATAGGGTACTTGCAGTGAGACACGCCTGTCTAAGGGAGTGTCACGTTGGAGCAGCGGTAGTACAAGTCAACCAAATTTGTCTCCAGTTGACATCCGTTCCCATCGACAGAGCTCTGTTTCGTGTATAGTTGGCTGTTGCACAGTCAGCACCCAGCACTTGAGTCGCTCCCACTTCGTAGGGCGTGCATCTTTGCCAGAAATATGTGTCTACATCAAACGTGGACATCTTAATTGAGATGGCCCAACTGAGATCTGTTGCCGCTCCCCCGCGCGACCAACAGTGAGTGACCAATATATCTTGGTCAGCGTGAGCTTTGACTCCGTTTCTTCCCGGTGCCGTTCAAGCATCGGCCTATTTGTCTCAGACCACCAAGAACTAACCATGACGAACTGTTTCGAAGTCATGGAGCGAGCGCAAGGACGTTTTTCTCGTAATTTTGCAGTCTGCTTGTGTAGAGCTGCGGACGATGCGCTGAAGCCGACCTGGGTGATCCCCTGAACAGTATTCACAACGGGAGCTGCAAATACACTGCGAGACATAATACAACGCATCGCTCGAGTCCCGGGCATGGATACCGAGCAAATAGCGGCATCGTCTTTTTTGGTGATCATTTCTGCGGTTCCGGTTGGGTGCGCAGAGCGTTTATCGACCAACTCGAAAAGCGGATCAGACTGTGCGGAAATAACCATCATCATGCGAACCAACCAAATGGGAAACAAAAACCTTGTTTTTTTGGAAACTTGAAACACGCAGAGAAGACGAAAAAAACGTCAGTGGGCAAAGAGTCTTCTTCCCAGGGCTGAAGGATCCCCGCCCCGCGTTGGTGCGTTTCAAGGCTGCGGACGGACGGACGGGTAGTTAGACATCTAGATAGGCAGCGCACGCCGCATGGCGGTATCTGTTTCATGGTCGCGGTGCCGAGATGGGCAGGGGGACGCAAAAAGGAAGCGGACGAGACAAAGGGCGGTTGTTCCTTGCATCTGGATCTCTGTGCTCGGTGGTCGGCTGCCCGAGTGTCATTGTGCACGTTCTTTTTGTACATATTTAGAATTATGCACAATAGTATGTTATGCATACATATCTCGCCAATGTAACCCCGAGATGGTGCACATGGTTCGCGGAGGATGTAAAGCTTTGTGCACCAAGGTCCGAGTGAATAGGCAACAGCCCTTGGGAAAATGAAGGATAAAAAAACGCAAAAATGAAAGAAAAAAAGACAACTTGTCCCTCTGCTCCGACGCAAAAATCATTTCGTGATGCACCAAAGAAACGGCCTTTCATTGAACCGCACGTGCCGACCGTCGAGCTGTGGTGAACAAACTTGGGAAAACAAAGGATTGGCTATACGTGCGCCATTTCTGTTGTCAGCCCAGAGTCGATCATAATTTGTGCGCTTCGTGCAGTCACGACGATCTCAGCCCAGAAAATGATTGGGCAACGAGCCCGCACAAGCTCGACGCGTTGTTTGACGTCTGCTTTGTGCACACACGTCACTTTTGTGCACAGGCAGCAAGCAACAACGCACAATTGTCTCCGAGGAGAGAGAGACTGGGGGAGGGGGGGGGGGCGTGTTTAATTTCCCCAAGTCTTCTCCACTCACACGCGAGGAGGCCCAAAGAGGCAAGGCGCCAGGAACCAGGAACCGGATGTACCCAGAGAGGATCGGGTTCTCGTTCAATGCCAACTTTTTTTGTGCGAGTGCGGTCTGCGGCGCGCCAACAAAAGAATTGGGCAAAAAAAAGAAAAGGGCTGAAGAGGGCGAAATTGACTATGCAGATTGTTTTCGCTGTCTCGGGTGAATGCTGGGGAAGTTGGTACAAGGAACAAGTATCCGTATATAGCGAGCTTCCGAAATGAGCTGCCTGCCATTTTCTCCAGAAAGAAATAAGCTCGCTGCAACTTCGTATCAGCCCATCAGCCGACGCCGCTCAACAAGGAAGCTAGACGACAACCCCCTGCTCGTGGTGACCAAGTTCCCCACGCTTCATTTCATTTTTTTTGGCTGCCAGGCTTTGCTGCGGCTCATCGGCCCCCCCCCCTTTCCCCAAAACTTTGTTTCTGGCTATTTACGATTTTGCATTGTTGCAACTGTGTCTGTGCTGCGAGACAAGTTTTTTCTTCTTCAGAACGGCCGCGTCTCCGTCTGCAACAAGTCTCAGTTGGTCTCATTGTTGCGCCCGCTTCGGAAGAGCACGTCATAAAGTCCAATCAAGTACGGCCAAGAAGTGAAAATGTTGAAAAATTGTTAACGAAAAAAATGAACAATTCCAGGAAAGGCTCGCTTTCCATGAAACGCCCCTGTACAATTAGAAATTAAAATACATTTGTAGCCCAGCGCCAAAATGTAAAATCCACTCAAATAACCAAACAACCAGAGTTTTTGCCGTAAATGCTTTATAGTATTAAAGGAGCCTAGTTAAACCTCTGTACATGTCTAACTGAGAGACTCGAGAAATATGCCAGTCGTAAAAAAAAAATCCGCAGAGCCCTTCTTAGGCTTCAACAATGAAGTCAAAGAATTATTTAAGCAAGGACGAGAGCGGCAAGACCGGCAGCGGCGGCAAAGATGGCAGAGCCAGCGAAGCTAGCAGCACCACCGGTGACGGGGGTCTTGGGAGGGCAGTTGGGGCCAGTGCAGCTGCGAAAATGTTAGCAAATTTGCATTGCAATGGGGATTTTCATTGAGACTTACGTCTGGTTGCCACCAGCGGGAGGCTGGGGAACACCAGTGCCGGTAGGGGGCTTGGGGGCGTTGGTACCAGCAGGGGGGTTGCCGCCAGGGTTGCCGCCGGTAGGGCAGGGAATAGCAATGGTAGAGTACTCAACCGAGGTGAGGACGGTGGTGTAGCTCTTGGTGATGGCGGTAACCGAGTGGGTAGGGCAAGCAGGGGCCTGGGTGCTGATAGACTTGGGAGGCTGAGCAGGGCCGGTAGGCTTCTCACCAGCGGGGACGGTGACGGGCTGGCTGCCGGTGGGCTTGCCGCCGGCAGGAAGGGTAGAGTTGTTCCAGAGACCGGGGGTGGGAGTGGCAGCGCCGACGGGGCAGACCGTGGTAGAGACGGAGATGGTCTCGGTGCTGACGACGGTGCTGTGAGCAGGGCAGTCGGTGACGGTGGCAGCGCAGCTGGTGATGGTGTGGACCTTGGTGCTGTAGACGGTGCTGGTGGTCAGGGGAACCGTGTTGATGATGACCGAGGTCGTCTTGGCGCGGGCCGGGCAGTCAGTGACAGTCTCGGGGCACTGAGTGACGGTGAGGTGCTCGGTGATGTAGGTGGTGCTGGTGGGCTCGACGGCAAGGACCGAGGTGGCCAGAACGGCAGCGGCGGCAGCGAAACGCATCTTGAAAGATTTGTTGGGGGGTTGGTGGTGAATGGAAGGGTGGGTGAAAGAGTGACTGAAAGCGAAAAGAGGCTTTGGGAGTTTTGAAAGAATGGACGACCGAAGTCAAGCGAGTCAAAAGCGAAGATGCTTTGGTTTGTGAATGGGCTGTTTTGGCTGAAGAAGAAGGAAGAGAAGCGGATGGACGGATGGCGAGGAGGGAAGCGGTATTAATAGCCAGCTCATCGGGGGTGTGCGTCGTTTCGTTTTTCTTGGTTCTTCATCGCTCGGTTTGGACGAGATGTGCGGGCGTGGATGCGGGCGTGGATTCGGTCTGTCCATGTTCGTTAGCCGCCCAGACAATGTGATGAGAGCCATGATAGGGGCACCCCTTGAGCTCCATCTTGGGAAATTAGACCGCGTCGGGATGGGCGAAGGAAAAGGGTGAGACTGGCCAACTGCAGAGGAAAAATGTGGGTGTGAGGAAGAGCTGGTGACATGGGGGGGGAGAAGATGGATCTTGACATGGATGAGGGGCAAAATGGGCGGTCATGATGGACTCTGCGTCGAGGACGAGGAGGAAACGTGGGCACGAATCCAGGGGAAACAGGGAACTAGTTACAGTGGACCGAGCGCTGTTTTCTGAGCACTTTTGCACTCGATTACTGCGGATAGCCGCTGTAGCGTCCACTGGTTTGGTGCCTTTAGGGGGATGCCGCCTGTGGATACTCATTTCTAGCTGTACAAATTACCTACCAGGTACCTAACTGGAATAGCTGGAATAACTGCTGCTCCTTACCAGCATCGTGACGAGCCTCGTCCAGTATTATTATATTATTATCGTGTCCTGGCCATATTAACTAGTTATTTCTGCGCCCGTGATTGAGTTGATCGCCAACCATCTCTTGATCCCAGCCCGCCCCTGTCTCTCTCTACCGCCTGCCAACAAATCATAATTAGCGAGTAATAATGCGCTCCCGCCCCAGAAAAATCGGCACTGCCACTGCAAGTCGCCATTTCCACCATGTCTACTACTCCGTAGTTCTGACCCTGTTCATCAACTTCATTTGCTTGGTCGCGTTACTCTATTACTGGTACTTTTTGTCCAAGCCATGTTGGTTCTTTCTGGTTTTCGGATAAATCAATTCATTCATCCTGCTGCAATCTCACTGTCCCTACTGTTCTAATTATAGCCAGCCCACGGAGCTTTATTACATTAATATGCATCATGTGCTAATCTACTATAATCTCTATCCGCACAGGTTTACCGCTATTTCTTGCTCATGGATTGATAAATTCCAAGTTAATAGCTGCTGCTCCACGCACGTGCTTGTACCAGTGGAAATGCCCTGGTGATCTGGCAGGGCAGCATGCGCACACATTCCTCTTCCTCACTTACCACCAGACAACACGATCCATCCGTATGCAGCATAACCGTGCTGATGATTCTGGTCAAATCATCAGCTGGGCTGCAGAGTCAGTGTCTTGGACTCGTCTCACGGGTTGAGCTGCCAGGCCCGAACCGACTACAACAACAATGTAACGCAGAATCAAGGTCGCTTATAATTTAATCATCAGACAGCTCACAAAAAAGGGCATGCCCGTTTCGCGCTCAATGGCGCTGTCTCGCCAGTTCATCTGAATGGAGAGCTCGTAGATTCCAATTCAACCTTATTCACCTTATTACTAGCAGCAGTATCCAGCTGAAGTTACCATTCAATGCGGCTTCCCGCATAGAACGCCACTGCAGCCATCTGTAAGCAAGCGCTGGAGCTTATTATTACCACTAACTTTGTTTGGCTGTCACTCTCTGTTTCTCATCCAACAGAGCTGACTGCGCAAGAGTTAGAAACAGCTGTAGATTACTCGGTAAGATGGTCCGCCCTGGCATAGCTTATACTGTACACTGCCATCTCACGCCCACTGGCCGGTTCGTCGGATCCTGGGTCCTGTGTATCGAGCATCGAGCATCGAGGACAAAAAGGGGGACAGGTCGAAAAAGGAGACCGAACATCCCGCCACGACTGGTCAGCCTTTCCATCCCGCTAATGCAGGAACACATCTTCTGCCCACACAATACGAAACGTCGGCGCGCCTGCTTGCCTCTAGCGGCAGAAACTATTAGTACTTCTACAAATTACTTCTGCGCCAATGGTAATGGTAATCAGGCGGGCGCTTTGCTCCAGTACGAGAAAACACTACTGGAACAAGTTCATAGTTAACAGGCTCTTGTCCACTCAAAACCAAAGCAGTCGCTCTCTGGCTGCTGGACAGATGGCAAGCCACTTCTTAATTGTTAATAAATGTGCCGCTCCCACAAGCCACAGTAACTAGTTACAATTGCTTTGGGGGTGCGAATTGATTCGTAAACAGAGCAATTGTCTCTCTCATCGTTGACCCCTATTTCTAGTTACATAAAAGGGAAAATACATTCACTCTTCAGTCTTTCCCCTATTAATTATTAACTACAAATTACTTAGCTAACTACTGGCACCTTCAAATTCTCACCAACTTGATAATGACCACGAATACAGATTACTGTTGCCCAAGGCGTCGCCACCGCCTTCAATAGGCGGTCCAGACCAGCACAAGCCTGGGGAGAGAGAGGGGTGTGGCTCTCAATCCCGGCTCTGCGCCCTAACGACAAAATGACCTGGCGGCCAATAAGACTACTCCATCGCCGCCGCCACGACAAAGGTCCCCGGAGAGCCTACCTCCGAATAGTAAGTAAATGGCCAGCCCTGACTCAACTAGCTTTTGTTGGCTGGAAGTCGCAGCGCTTATTTTTGAGCAATTGTCGGTGGCACAAAGTCCAATTTCGGAACACCAATCGCCTTACCAGCCATCAACTGCACCAATGTCTGTTCGCCTAGCTTCTGAGCGCCAGATAATTAGCTCAAAGATTACCTGATAATTAACTTGGATTAGTATTAGTTACAAACATGTAAATTAAAACTACACCTTGTATGTCAAGCACCTGGGCTTTGGAGAGGCCAACGTGCCTCCCGTTGCCCAAAGCATTCGGATTTCCGAACTATTGGAATCGAATATGTCGGAACGACTCTCAAATGCATTATCGGTCAGCTAGTTACTGGAGGATCACGGACCTGAATAAGCGAGGTAGCCCGAGTGCTGGCTCCCGCCACTGCGGGAACGTGCATGGCTGTATCCCGATGACGGCACCCAAGACATCTCACCCTTCGCGCCTCGCCGTTCAACCATATCAGAGTAACTATCCGTAACTCCTAGTAGTTACACCCGTTGAGGCAGTCTTGTGCTGGTCCGGCTTAAACAATTAGTTACTCCTCGGCCCAGTTAAACCCCATGCCGGCTCCCGTTGTTCGTCCATTGACGATTCCTTGAGAATCTCCCTGTTCGTTTCGACGAGCTCTTTCAAGGGCTCCACAGGTAAGCATGGATGCATGCCATCGTGCCAGGGGTGGCCAGTGGTGATGGCAATAGGCCTTGTAGGTTTTGAAACACGAGGTTTTCAGTCCACCGACCGCCCAATGCCCCCTTTCCATCTTACCTTGCTGGTTTTATTTCTTCGTATTTTGCCACTATTTATTACAGTTTAGCGGCGCCAGGCGGCCATCTCCAGCTTCACCGCGATTTCTCCAGAGGTTCTTGTCTGAGGATCCCCAATAGGGGAAAGAGCGGCGATATATGTAATAACGTGTCGGTGAACCTATATTGCAAACCAGTTGCCGGTCTTACCATCTTTCTCTTATAAATTCCACGGATTTTCTTCCCCGGCGTTATTTCTGTTGGCTGGAATTTACTTTCATATGTACGTGCGCTTGTCGGTTCTGATATGGTTGGTTTCCATTTCGCGAGATTCTAACGCGGCCTCATTCCCGTTGAAGCTGGAGCCATTCACTCACTGTATGGCTTCTTTCTTGCTCCTTATTTACTTGTCGTATGCATGCTCATCATTCCAAAGTATATCTCGTCGTTTTCGTGGCCACTTTTTATACTTTCCGTCGCGGCGTGTGCGATCCTTCTTCCTGTTCGTACCCGTCAAGTACCATTAGCGTGTCATCGACGTGCCCAACCCAACTCCACCAGGCACTCAACACACGCGTTGCTTGCGGTACAACCGCACTGATAGTCGTGGTATCCTGATTGGAAGTATCGGCTTTCTTACGTATCCCTCCTATTATTTGTTTTCTGACCACCGACCGACGTAACTCGATCGAAACGAGCCAATCGATAGACCCTCCGACCCGGCGGCCACACGTCACATTCCAGATGATATTTCGGCCTTCACACACGGGGGGGGTTCTGGAAAATAAGGGTGACGCAGGAACGAGAGACGAACGATGTCCAATTTCCATTGTATTATCCAAGACACCGTTTCGAGGCAAGACAATAAGGTGGCGCCGTTCGCGTTGGGCACCAGCTCAATCTTTTGATGGCGCATGATGAGCAAACGAAGGAGCACTATTTTGTTCCAAGTGCCAGTCAATAGGGCTTCTCTCGTCTCCGCGTATCATGCCCGTTTTTTTCTATGTGTCACTGCGCCGCAGTGCTGCCACGCACCGTATTGCGCTTCAGAGTTTCTCTGTAGCGCGCTCGTCTCTGCTGCCCATTCCATCACTACTACGAGATTCAACCCGTACGATATAATAAGCCCTGTTTGGGAGTGGTATTGTGTTGGGTGGATTATTAAACAGTGTATATTCGAGCCACGGTCTGGCATATACTGTCTGCGGATGACAGACATACACCACTTTCTCCTCTTACGCGGTATGTGTGACACTGTAGACCGGTCGATGATTTCCAGGGGACAAATCTCTTGACAGACGGATTAGAGAACATAAATGAGAATGTGATGGGATGGGCCAGTAGCTATCTTATAGAATAAACAAGGGAGCGCAAGATGGATGATGAAATCTGCGCCTAGTGCATACCAGCGTTGGTTGGTATCGTCAACCCGATGCCCGCTGATCTCTGTAGGGGTAGTGGAGGCCATATGGTAGACTTCAGAGAGCCCTGTTCGTCTACGGGCGCGTGTCGTGGTTTTCTTTCCTTGCCTATCGAGGGGATGTCGTGGAGGGCTCTTGGCACAGGTTAGGCAGTTGGTTGCACTGTGTGCTACCCGGTAGCCAACCCCATATATGTCATATGTACGTAGCCAGGACCGCGCTTCGGAACTGATTCGTCGTCTGCCTATTTTGACACATTGTTGGTATTCTGTGACACTTGTAGTTATTGATACACTCTTCCGGTGGGTTGTTGGGATGGTCGACATGTTGATTATCACCGGGTTGGTGCGCTTTTCGGTAGGACATTCACGGCGATGCTGGGTTACTGAGATGTCAGAAGGGTGACGCCAACCTCGGTGCATTAGGTAGGTAGTTATGATAAAAAAAACAACTAGAGCCGCTAGTGAATATATACATAAGATATCCAGTGACCATGTTCAATACGACCGTCTACCCAAATCGTACAGTAGCATTATACTGTGCATAAACAGCACGCACAGTACAACCTGGCACCCGCCACAGCATGTAGCTACCGCCACAACAGCTCCAGCCTTCACTGTTCAAAGAGACACCAGCCACAACCGGCGCTGGACCTCAACCCCCACATTGGCACGAGAACTGGCACCGACTTTTGGAAATGGACGCACAACGCCTTTCCATCGTCAAATACACCGACTTCTCAATCGATCCAGGCACCCTTCCCTTCCGCACAGCCATATCCATACCCGCTCTGCCGTAGATCTGCTTCGCACCTTCTGCCTCTGCCTGGCCAGACGCCCTGCTTCGCCCGCCCCCATCTCCCCAGGCATGCATCCGCGGTAGTCGTCCCCCTCCCCAAATTTCGAAACCCGCCAGGCTTTCTGTCTACCATGTTGCATGCTGTACGCCCAACGCTGCCAGAGTTATAGCAGCCCTCCGCCGAAACCTTCACACCAGTTTCTATCAAAAGTATAGGCCGATATTCAGAACACGCATCTGACTGCGCGCACTTTTATTTTAACCCCCCCCAAGCCAGCCATGGAGGCTCAGGTACGGCACCGAAAAACACAGTTTTCCCCTCGTGCCCCGCCACTGTGACCGGCATTTGCTGCGTCATTGCCGCGGGTGCCCTTTGCAATGCACGCAGGGGAGCTTCCTCTAAGCTACAGCTAACATGTTGCGGCAACACAGATCGAAAATGTTGTCGATATCTTGTCGAACCCCAGATCCGACCAGTTCCTCCAAACGCAGGCCTTGGAGTATCTGGGCCAGGTCCGATCCGACCCCCAGGCATGGCAAGCCTGCACCAACCTCTATGTTCGGACAGCGCCCCGAGCCTCCGAACTTGTCCGCATGACCTGTCTGGAAATCATCAACTATGCCGTCTACAACCACGGCCTCGACCCCGATAGCCTCAGCTATCTCAAGCAGACGCTACTGGAATATGCTCGCCAAACCTATGGTCCCGAAGCTCAGTACGAACCCGACCAACGTCATATCCAGAACAAGCTCACGCAGACCTTGACGTATTTGTTCGTCTTCCTATACCAGAATGGATGGCAGTCCTTCCTCGAGGACTTCCTTGCCCTCACTGGCATTGCCATTAACGTCAACAACGTCAACGGCACGCTCTTCTACCTCCGCATCTTGTCTTCGATCCACGACGAGATCGCCGACATGCTCCTCTCTCGCCAAAACAACGAATCCAAGCGTAACACGGAACTCAAAGACCAGCTGAGAGCACAAGACATGCATCGCGTCGCTGAATCATGGAAGCAGCTCCTCGCTCGCTACAACGACAATGACGCCGTCGTCGAGATGGTCCTCAGAGTCATCGGCAAGTGGGCTAGCTGGATGGACATTTCCCTCATTATCAGCCAAGATATGCTTAGCCTCATCCTCCCTATTGTCGGTCGGAACAAGAACGAGGGACGAAGCGACAAGGTCCGTGATATCGCCATCGAGACACTTACCGAGATCTGTGGCAAGAAGATGCGCCCTGCCGACAAGATGGAGATGATCTCCTTCCTCAGCCTCCAGAGTATTGTCGGTCAGCTCGTGTCGATGCCTCTGCTGAGCGAATATCGCGGGACTCACCAGTACGACACGGATCTCGCCGAAGTCGTTGCCAAGCTTGTCAACAGTGCAGTCTCCGACATCATCCGAGCGCTCGATGATGCTCAGATCACCGACGACACGCGATCTCGGGCCAAACAACACCTCAACGACTTCCTTCCTCTGCTACTGCGCTTCTTCTCTGACGAATACGACGAGGTCTGCTCTACTGTTATCCCCGCTCTCACCGACCTCCTCACCTTTCTTCGCAAACTCGGACAGCTTCCCGACGAGTATACCAGCATGTTAGCTCCCATTCTCGATTCCATTATCCGCAAGATGCGTTACGATGAAACTTCGTCCTGGGGAAACGAAGACGAACAAACAGACGAGGCCGAATTTGGAGAACTCCGAAAAAAACTTCAGAATTTGCAAAAGACCATTGCTGCCATCAACGAGCCTCTCTACATGGATATGCTTAGCAACCTGGTCGCCACAACCTTCCAGACCCTGGATCAACGAGGGTCCGAGGTGGATTGGAGAGATTTGGATCTGGCTCTGCACGAGATGTACCTCTTTGGAGAACTTGCATTACCAAACCACGGTCCCGGTACCAAGAACCAACCCTCCAGCGAAGCCTCCGAACGTCTCATGGTCATGGTAACAAAAATGGTCGAGTCTGGTACGGTTTGCCTCCGGAGTTTTCTACCAAATACTAACAAGGTTTAGGCATTGCCAACTTCTCGCATCCCGCTATCTTACTTCAATACATGGAGATTTGTGTCCGATATAGTGCTGTCTTCGATACCAACACGCAGTACATTCCGCAGGTGCTGGAAAATTTCGTTCGCCTAGTGCACCACGAGCATGTGCGCCTCAAGACCCGTTCGTGGTACCTCTTTCACCGATTCATCAAGCAGCTTCGAGGACGAGTTGGAAACGTCGCTGAAACCGTTATTCAGTCTATCGGAGACCTGCTACCCATCAAGGCCGAGGTTCCGGGGGAAGATGCGGACGATGACATGTCATCAGACGAATCTGATCACTCTGCTGATGCTCTCTTCATCAGCCAACTGTATCTCTTCGAAGCCATCGGATGTATTTCGTCTACTTCCAGCACCCCTATTGAAAAGCAGGCACTATACGTTCGATCAGTGATGGAGCCTCTTTTCCAAGACATGGAAGTGCATCTGCCTCGTGCCAAGTCTGGCGATGCTCAGGCTAACGTTCAAATCCATCACATTGTCATGGCTCTCGGTACGCTAGCACACGGCTTCTCTGACTGGACGCCAGGGTCTACAAGCAAAGAGCACACCCCGCCGGACAAGCTGGTGGCAGCCGAATTTTCACGAGCTGCAGAGGCCATCCTCATTGCGCTGAGCCAACTCAATTCTTCCAGCGAGATTAGAACAGCCTGCCGTTCGTCATTCTCCAAGCTTCTAGGCGTTCTGGGCGCTGCGGTGCTCCCCCAACTCCCTCAATGGATCGATGGACTGCTCTCCCAGAGCTCGTCCAAAGATGAGATGGCCATGTTCTTGCGTCTTCTCGATCAAGTCGTGTTCGGCTTCAAGGCAGAGATTTACGATGTCCTCAATGTCTTGCTGACACCGCTTCTCCAGAGAATCTTTACTGGACTGACAGAGCCGATTCATGGAACAGACGACGAGATTCAGCTTGCAGAACTTCGACGGGAGTACCTTTCCTTTATCCAAATCATCCTCAACAATGGGCTTGAGGGCGTTTTGATCAGCGAAGCCAACCAAGGGTACTTTGAGTCCCTGATTTCCTCTGTCATAGAGCTGGGAAAGACACTGGAAGGCAATCTAGGACCCTCCCGGCTCGCGTTCACCATCCTGCTACGCATCTCCTCCGTCTGGGGTGGCCCTGACGTGGCTACCATCTCGCACAACCCCACTGCCCCGACTGGCTCGGCCAGCCCTGTCATCCCCGGGTTTGATCACTTTATGATTGATCGTTTCCACAATGCGTGCTGGGAGGTGTTGCGGAATCCCAACTTCCGCCCTGCTCAGGACGCACAGACGAAGCAAATTCTGGTGGAAATTGCTAGCCTAGAGCAACTCATCTACACCAAGACTGGCGACGCTTTTATCCGGAACCTACAGAATGGAGTTTTCCCCAGTCTGGGTATCAATGGAGACGAATTTTTGCGGTCACTTACTACGTCAATCGACAAGAAGCAATTTCCTTCGTACCTCCAGGGCCTGCTTAAGAGTCGCCAATAAAGGGCACGGTCTACACGTCTGAAATCTACAAAAATGAGTGCTACAGGATCACTACTGACTGCCTGAGGAGGAAGCATTTTGACAAGAGAAGAAAGGGCTTTGGCACGCGAAGGGTGGATTTTCATTGGGCATGGAATATTTACAGTGTTATATGAGATTTCATCATTGGAGTTGCGGAAAGGATTAAGATGAACATAGATACGTTCAAAGACAAAACAAGAATACACAATACCCCAAAGAAGGATTTTAGGTGAATTTCTTTTTTAAATTCAAGATATCTAGACTGAAATAGTCCTAGCTCAAACTACTGGAATTGTCCAAATAGACAATTGAAGTCAAACGCTGCGTGACAGAAATGTCGACGTGACAATGATGCAGAACTGACAATGATGCAGAACTGACAATGATGCAGAACTGACAATGATGCAGAACAGTAAAACAGGGTATCAGAGGTAATCAGAAAAAAAAAACCCCCAAAAAAACAGGTAGAACAGAACGCAAATAAACATATCGGCTTTTCCTACCCAATAATCACCAACAAGTCAAGTTTTTTTTTTTTTTTTTTTTGTTCAAGATTCTGGGCAGCAGAGTGCATCAGAAAGGCCCGAAGCACTGGTGTTGGTTTAGGCCAGCGGGCTGTCATCGCCGAACAAGCTGCCGTCGGGGATATCCGCGACATCCTCATCTTCATTGGTGTACATTTTCATGAGCTCTTTCATGCCGTCATCGGTAATGTCTGTGTTGTTGTCAAGTATGCTGGTGGCACCGTTTGCATCAGCATCAACCATGGTAGTATCATGGTGAGGCAGCATGGTATGAAGATGGGCCTCGAGGGCCGCACCCAACTCAAGGGCCATGTCAGCGGCCGGCTGCTCCTGCTCCTGCGCTGGCGTCTTCGTGGGAGCAGCAGCAGAAGGAGGATTAATGAGAGGCGCGAAAGGCAGCAGAAGACCACCGAAATTGCGAGGGCCCTGCAGAATAGGAGGAGTGACAAATGGAGAAGGAGGAGTGACAGGAAGAGAAGTAGAACAAAGGCGAGAATCAGGGAAAGGAGTAGAAGGGCTAGCAGTAGCAGTAGCCGCAGCAACAGGACTGACTGGGTCGGATACTGGGGGGTTCACTTTGGTAAGTGTGCTTGATCCCGCAGCCGCAGCCCGAGTAGCCTTTTTCGACGCTCTGCGGGAGCTCTGCGCCTCAGTTGCGCGCTTCTTCTCCTCCTTCATTCTGAGCAAGTGCTGGCGGTCTTCCTCAGTCAGATTTTTGTGGTCCTTGGCTTTCTTATTTCTCAGGGCTCTTCGAATGGCCCCGTTGAGCCAGGTCTCATCAGCGGATAAGCCAGCCACCGTCTGTTGAGGAATAGGGCCTTTGAGGGTAAGATCTGCTCGCTCCAACTTCATCTGCTCCTGGAGCGCAATGAGCTGGTCCAAGCTGGCGGGGTTGCTGTAGTGGGGGTGACCCAAAGGGAATGCACGCTTCAGGACCTTGGAGGTACACTGGCGGCCGTGCTTCTTAGAAGCATTGCACTTGCCTGAGGCTCTAGAAGCCCCCGAGGCGGCAGCAGTTTGAGGAGTACTGCCGCGCGTCAAGGCAGGCTGCTCAGAAGAGGCAGACTGCTGAGTAGTGGAGGCAGACTGCTGAGTGGTGGAAGCAGACTGCTGAGGGATAGAGGCAGACTGCTGAGGAATAGAGGCAGATTGCTGAGGAATAGAGGCAGACTGCTGAGGAATAGAGGCAGACTGCTGAGGAAAGCCAGGCTGCTGATTGATAGGAGCAAACTGCTGATTGATAGGAGCAAACTGCTGATTGATAGGAGCAAACTGCTGATTGATAGGAGCAAACTGCTGATTGATAGGAGCAAAC